CCTTTATGTGACAACCCCTCCCATCCTAGGCACCATTCTCGTAACCCTCTTTTGAACCCTTTCTAACAATTCAATGTCTTTTCTAAGGTAAGGAACCCAAGAATGAACACACTAGTTGAAATGTGGCCTAACCAGTGACCTATACAATGAAATTATAATCTCTTTTGACTTGTATTCAGTATTTCTGTAGATACAACCTAAAATCCTATTTGCCCTACCACTAGCAACAGTACACTGCATGGATGGCTTAAGAGACTAATCAACCACTATACCAAGATTTCATTCTTTTATAACACTGTTATGGTTATTCTCATCCAAATTATACTTATAATTCAAATTATGACAACCCACTTGCATAATCTTGCACCTATTATAATTAAAAATCATCTACCATTTATTTGCCAAACTTACTAAATTATCAAAATCCTTTTATAAAGCAGCAACATCCTCTTTACAGCTAGCAACACCCAAGACTTTAATATCGTCAGCAAATTTAAGTAATTTATTGACTATTCCTTCATCTAGGTCATTGATGTAAATCAAAAAGAGCAAAGGTCTTAAGAATGAGCCCTGAGGTACCCCACTTGTGACATTAATCCAGTTTGACTTAACTCCATTTGTAACAACCCTTTGCTTTCTTCCATCCAGCCATTCTTCTATCCAATTAGATAACTTATTTTCCACACTTATAGAGATATTTTCTTTTACAAGCCTTTTATGTGGCACTTTATCAAATGCTTTCTGAAAATCCAGATACACCAAATCTACACTCTTACCCTCATCTACATAAGCAGTAACTTTTTCAAAGAATGTCAAAAGATGTGTAAGGCAAGATTTTCTCTTATTGAAACCATGTTTACTATCCAATAAAATTCTAAACTTTAAATGATTTTGTAAAGCATCTTTTATCAGGTTTACCAAAACTTTTCCTACAACTGATGTCAGACTAATAGGCCTATAATTACTGGGACAATTTTATCACCTCCCTTGAAAAGATTAGATACATTAGCTAACTTCCAATCCTTTGGCACCTACCCTCTATTCAAGGACTTACAAAAAATAGTAGCATGTGGCTCATATATCCAATCCATAACCTCCTTCAAAACCCTTGGGGAAATATCTGGCTCAGAAGTCTTATATTTCTTTAAAATTCCCAATTTTTTCTTAACAAGATACTTGAACTTCAATAGGAGATCATGTATACTCTTACTCATCAAAGACAGATAGTGTTCTAAACACAAATAGATGAATTTAACATGAATAAAAGCATCTTTGATTTGGTGGAGATATGCTAGTTTGAGTTATTAAAAAAGTGCCTTACTATCAAGTGCTAGTGGGGTAACCCTTTAACTAAGTTAGTATAGCATTACCTGGTGTGCAAGAGGTTTTGGAATTGAATTCAACTGTGGAAATAACAGAAAAAGGGGTTTAACACAAATGGAAAAGAGAAATAACAGCGTCTAAAGAACAAAGTAATACAAACTTCTGGCTTTTTTTAAAAAGAAAATGGATTTATGGTTCAAGATAAAATGAGGCTAGAAAAAAGTAATAGAAAAACATTTGGTAAAACCAGGAGTAGAAGATACAGATCATTTTATAACATTAGTAACAGGTCAATAGCCAAAGATGGTGAAATAATGCAGATTCAAAGCATTAGATTATTAACACGTGTACAGTTGATGTGTGGATTAAGTCAGTGTGCTTTGCTGCCTTCTAATCTCTTTTTGCTTTTCTTTTTTTACATTCAAGACCGATGCATATACATTTTAATGACGTAATGTTTCATTTGGAAAATATGACTATTTAGTTCATCATAGCTGTGTTACATTTAAAATTTCATAATGGTTTTGTTTAATTAATCATGGTAGATACTAATGATTAAAATCCTATTAAAATTAAGAAACTTATTTAACCCCCAAAATGTTTAAAATATGATTTTAGGCAACTGGCGAGAATTTCGGAATCATGGTACCAGTTTATCTGATAAGAGGCTCTGTAAGTTTGTGAATTTTTTAATTGATTTTGTTATACTAATCTTAAAGTATCCATTTTCTGTTTGTGTACTTCATTTATAACTAAAGTGTTAAAATTTGTTTATTGCTACAGAATGCTAATGATTTACCCTGTCTTCGGTTTAAACTACTTGACTTTGACAAACTAAACACAAGAAGAATCAAAAACTTATCTTTGCATGCAGTAATTTATTTAATGCTTTAAGTATATATAAAAGTGTAAAATAAAAAATGTGCAAAAAAAAACTGATAAGAGACAGCAATATATTGCAAGAAGAATTAAAAAAAAATGTTCTTTAATGTTCTGTGGAACAAAAGAAAGTTAAAACAGAAACACTTCTCTAATATTCTGTAGAACAATATAAAGTAAAAACCAGAAACAATCTTTTTTAATGTTCTGTGAACAATATAGTTAAAACTTGAAACAATCTTTTTTAATGTTCTGTGAACAATATAAAGTTAAAACCAGAAACACTTCTCTAATATCTGTAGAACAATATAAAGTAAAAACCAGAAACAATATTTTTTAATGTTCTGTGAACAAGTATAGTTAAAACTTAAACAATCTTTTTTAATGTTCTGTGAGCAATATAAAATTAAAACCAGAAACAATCTTTTTTAATGTTCTGTGAACAATTTAGTTAAAACCTGGAACAGTTTTCTCTAACATTCTGTAGAACAATATAAAGTTAAAACTAGAAACACTTTTCTGAAGTTCAATAGAATAAAATCAGAATTGAATGTGTTGTTTTTTCCACCATAAGAGCTTATACTACATTATAATTGGTCACTATGTTTGTATATTTTTAGGCAAATCAAAAACTTCCAGAGAGGTATAAGACCAATCCAATATATGGAAAAGGAAAGTAAGTATCAGATAAGGAATGTGGCTGGAATAAGGTACTAGATTAAGACCACAAATGTAAAGCCTCAGTCAGTCTAATTTTAAAATATATTTACTCCATTTCTTGTACTTAACATATTGGATTTTTTATACAACTTCAATTGACTTTTGGATTATTGATTCAAATATCAAATTAACCCTATCCAGACTGGCAAACACATTTCAGATGTTAATTGCACACCTACATATAAAATTTCAAAATTTAGATAATAGTTCTGTTTCAACAATTTTTACTCAAAACGTATTTTAGAATTGATGTTTGATCATTTTGTAACCTTTTTTTAATTTTTTTTATATATACTTAATCTGCCAAGAGAAATTTAAAATAATATTTGAACTTTAATACATTTCTGCACAGCTCTGGGAAGTCTCACCTGTAAACAACACACTTAATGGTTTTTAAAACGTTTTCTGTCTGCCCCAAAGCATAGGTCTATAGTTGCTAAAAATCTACCAGCCCTTGATAATATAATTCTGAAAGTTTTGTATGTCACTGATTTTCAATCTTTTTATCTGACTATTGGTACAGTGTCTTGTTCACAACCTTTTAGATGTCACAGTATGTGGTGTGACCAACTAGTAATGGAGCTCTGCTTTCAAAATAGCTAGAGGCAAAGTTTAAATACCATTGGACAGAGCTGATTATAAACTATTTACTTCAACATAGTGCTAATGAAGTGGTGTGAGTAGTAGTTTATGATTTTCAAAGAAACTGAATAGATGTAAGAACAAACCACAGATCTGAGGATTCTTTTATGATTTCTAGACATTATTTTAATTCTTTAAAATGTTTTTGTGCCAAACTGTACTTGTTTGAAAGCTGTAGAAATTCTCTTCTGTGAAAAGACTGGATATTAAAGCCTAGTTAGGCTTAGAGAGTATGATAGGCAGTGACAGGTTATTGAAATGTGGCTAAATCCTTATTTAATGAATATGACAGATAAGATTATCAGTTTCGAGCATTGTAGATAAGTAAAATAACTTATTGTTTATTGAAAATAAACTATTTGTTAGATACAAATTGATCTCAACAAAGAGTATTGCTATCAAAAATACTGTTACTCAGGTCATGCCCTGAGGCATTGGTCAGCTTGTGTCATATTTTTTATGATTTATAGCCACAAGTGGTGACTACTACAGTTGGCAAAATAAAGTATCAAAAGAAATATGCTAATGAATGTCATTCAAGTTGGTAAAACTTTCTTTTCAAAACAATGTCTCTTAAACAAAATTTTAGAAATTTCACAACATAAAACAATGACAGAAGTAAATCAGTGATTTTTTTTAAAGCCAAAACTAGATACTAGTTAATACGTTTTCACCAAGTTTCATGCGATTTGGTTAAGTATTTCCACTGTGAGAAGGAAAAATTTAAGGGATGTAAATGACACATACACACACACCATGGTCTGGAAAGGGTTAAAGTAAAAGAAAATATAATTGGAAATTAGTAACATTTTATTCAAATAATATACAGCTATTGAATAAAACAAAACAGTTTAGAATTTTTTTAAATGTTTGCTTAATGTATGATGGAGTTCACTGTCTGTAAATTAGTAAAGGTATATATCACGTGAAAGATAACCGAGTTTTAACACTTGTTACAATATTATCATATGATTAAAAGCTGTCTATTAAAATGCTTTGATTGATTGTAATAAAATGCCCATGCTGGTAGTTTTATTTATTCAACATAAACATGAGATGTTATCTGTAGTTTTTATAAGCAAGTATTTTTATACATGTGATTTATTAGAAGTTAACAAAAATGGCCAATATTCCTCTTTGAGAAACTGTTATTGCATCATTGTAACAATAATCAAATCTGAAAAATCAAAGCTATTCAATTATAGATGTTTATAAAGCTACTGGAATGTTTCAAATTGGCAACTCCTTTTATAAAGTGTTAATCCTTGCATGCCATGCTGTATTGATTGAATTGCCAAACTAATTGTTTAACAAACTTCATTTGTTACAGGGTTTACAACAGTTTTTGCTGTTTCTAGTGTAGCCTCTTCATTAATTGATCAATTAGCTTTAGATTCAAAGATCTGTTTAGACACAAGTGAACATGAGAACAAAAATAAGATAGTGTTTGGTTATTTGATCAGATTGATCTTAACAATGAGCTTCCATAGTAAGAAACTTTAATTTTGATTGTATCACGTATGACCACTTAATTAGTAGAAATTTGATAAGTTTATAAAATGTACAAATGAACATAAATATCTTGAAAGTTTCAGTTGTGTGAGAGAGTATTTTATACTTGACCAGAGTAGATTGTTTTTAATCATAGAATTACAAGCTTTTTCATTTTTATACCGTTAACTGCTGATGGGGTTCATATGTTACAACATATTGAGTAGTTTTATGTCTTTGCCTATTACAGCCTTCATTGTTAAGAACTGTCCTAAAAAAAAAGGGTGAAATCACTTATTTTCTATGTAGAATATATAGGGGGCCATGGCAGTAGGTAATAAGACTAATTGTAATATAGGTGACATTTAAAAAATTTTGTGATTGTCATCAGGTGCATTTTAACTTTTAAACAGAGACAAGAAAGAAGATTGGTGGAAGGCATTAGGTGAGTTTATTTAGGAAAAACTAAGTAAGAGGATCATTAGAATAATAGCTTATTTAGTTTTATATTTATATATATATATAGTTTTTCAAATGAATAAAAAGTTGTCTTACATAGATTTTAAATGTAATAGTTTGTCATACTCTATTATTTGAGGCCACAAATATGGTTAACTTATCTTGCATATAATTTTAAATATTTTACTGTTTTCCCCCCTACATTTTCATGTTTTTTATAATATGTAGAAGTTATACCAGGTGAGCTAATATCAAACTGTTCTCATTTTCGGTCACTGTGATGTAGACATTTTAATTTAAACTAATAAATAAAATTTTTCCGCACTGTGTAACAAGGTTTTACTTATATACCCATAAGGTTTCAAGGGCTTCTCATCTGGTAGGAGACAAGACTTAATTGATTAGAAAAGAAATAGTTTGCAGTATGGTATATAATACCTAATTCTGATTTATTACTAATAGTATGATTTATTCATACCTTACATCTTCAAAGTACTATAACATACTTATGAACACTCAAATTGTAAATGAAAAAATTAAGAGGATTCTAATCTAAATGATTAATGCTCATCAAGTACTCTTTTTCTTTCTTTTTTTTAACTGTTTGAACTATCTTCCATTTCACAAGGAAGACTCATCCTTGGTTTTTATTATCAGGGTTATGGGACAGTTTTTCTGTACTATTTCAACACTCCTTCATAGCCTTGGATTGAACATGATACTTGTTACAAATATGTGCTCTTCCATCTTGGTTAGATAGTTAACTGTGAGCTACATACAGCTAGTATGGTACTTTGGTTGTAACTTAAACTATCTTATTACACTAGGAAACAAACAAAGAAAAAACTTTTTCTCTCTATCTGTTACAAAAGTAGCTGTTTTTGACTAATTTTGTGGCATAGATTACAAAAACCATAATGGTTTTTTCAGGTCGGGTCAGGTTTTTGAGATATTGTGCCCCCTGCCTTGAGACTTGTATACCACATAGCTTGCCATCGTTGATAGGTTGTTACCTAAGAAAAAAATAAAATAAATAATCAAAGTTTACTTTATTCTATGAATAAAACTATTACGTAACCAGGATTTAAAAACTGTTAAAAGTGTTTTTTTTTGTGATTTCTGCTTGAATACTGAGTTACTTTCATGCTTGAGCATCCAGAAGTAATCCCCCATCAAAGCTGGGTCCCATCTACTGTGGTAGTTCTTCTCCATTCTCATAATATCCTGGTGAATACGAGACATCACCAAGATTTTCAGGAAAAAACTCTAAATGACTGTGCAAAAAATGAACTTTTAAAGACATCTATGCACCACTCTTTTAATTTGGATACTAGCAGTTCAGACTGTGACTTAGATAGATTCAAGTCATTTAGATCAGCTTGGTTGAAGAAATGGGGTTCATTGGATTTAGGAGGACAGAATTCATCATCTGTGTCATTCTCATGTGCTGATGATTCATCAACAGACGAGGATATAATTTTTTTTCAGTTGGTGGTGAGGGAACTGAAAGTTCTTCATTGCGAGGAACTGGCTTTATAGCTGGTTCCACATTTGGGTACTGAACTTTGTGCCTATTCTTTGCTGTGATTCCAATTATAATGGATTGACAAAAATAACAGTCATTTACATGGTTCTTGGGTTCTGCTCTTACTTTTACCATTGAACCAAATGTGTGGTGCCCAACTCTTATTTTGATCCCCAAGATGACAACTAAAGTAGCAGAAGTAAGCAGTCTTGACAACAGGTGTAATATTTCTGCATTACAAGCTTGGTGTAAAAATGTCACAAACATAACATAATGAATGGGGGTGATTTAAGAAACCACTTGAAGAATTCATATCAGTCATATTAGATCTGAAACAAAGGTAAATAAAATTAGCATCTGGTAATGTAAAATATATTTACGAATAAGACAAATTATAATATTGTGTAATATCATATCATGCCATGAAGCACCAAATTATACCCATGCCCTGTATTGCCTCATTACCCACTTTATGTTGAAAATCTAAGTAAACCTTATATGCAAAAATGTGAATAGCTCTATCAATTCAATAAAAAAATAGTCATTTTAAAGAAAATATGAATAAGACATGATGATCACCACCTTGTACTTACCCCCCCACATGTACCACCATCCATTATACTGAAAAAACTGGACTCGCTGTGCAAAAAAATAAGTCCATTTTCGTAATCAGCACCCTCAAATTAGTAAAACATGATACTTCTTTAGTAAGATACAAAAATGTTGTTGACCAGTGTTATCAAAGTAGCTTATTTTGCATTTTTTTCAAATAAAGCAGTATAGTGTATGTCTCTTTTGAACTCCTGAACACATTCTAGGACTGATTACAGATTTTTTTCTACCCCTTCTAGCAAGAGTTTTAGTGTGTGAAAAATACTTGGTGGAAAAACCCATAGGTGAAATGGGAGGTTACAAATCACATAGTAAACAACAGTTTTATATAACTGTGCTTTCTTCAGTTGCTCAGGAGTGGCTTCGAAAGGCAAAAAAAGATAAAGACAAAGTATGCTTAATGCTAGAAAGAAGTCAGGAACTAGAGAATTTAGAGTGTGTACGACATCCACAACCTTTGCTCGTTCTTTCACAGGCAAGGAATCAAAACGTACCTGTTGATGGAAAAGGATTATCTAGAGAGTAAGTCATGTACATCATACACACAAATAAAACTCATTAACAAATAATCTAAAAATAAATAAGTAAAAATGAAATTTTGCTCAAACATAGCTTGATCATTTACAAACTAAGTATATTACAACTTGCTGTAGCTTTAAAAATGTTAACACATTGTACACTTAGAATTTAATTGTGCATAGTGGCTTTGTTAATGTAGTGTAGTTTCTTTTAGGGCTTTTTTAGCAATTTTTAGTGTACCTGAGCTTGACACAATATCAACATTTTTGCACCTTTCACATCTATCCAGTAGACGTATATGATGTTAAAAATGTGCTTTAAGGTATTGACATGTCTAATCTGTTTTACAGAGTTCACTGAATTATTGCTATTTTGGAAATTAGGATAAAAAATGTTTCTAAATTAAGTCCAGTTGTCTATGTTTTTGTACATCATTAAGGCAACTTGTGATGTTTTTCAGGTACACACACACATATGTACTCTTCCACTGTTTGAAGATGTCTATCTTTTCAGAGATACTATTCACCTCATAAAAGGGTATTGTACTGTGCAAGGTCTTCTCATACTCATTGCCAGTTTTAGGTAACAATACCATCACCAGCTCAGAACTGTAGTTTAGAGAAAACAAAGCTTTCCACCTCAGTGGGCTTGATTATGGAGAATTTCAGACAGTGAGGCTAACAACTTGAAAATCAAATTCCACCCATCCTGATTATAATATTTGCTTGATGGTGTCTCTGAATATTGTAAGAAAATCAAATTCCACCCATCCTGATTATAATATTTGCTTGATGGTGTCTCTGAATATTGTAAGATAGCTCTAAAGTTAACTGACGTGATGATTTTATATGTAATAATATATTATACACTAATCAATTTCAAAAGTCATGTTTGATCTTAAAGTAGTTAACCTTTTATTCTTTAATTTTATTTTTATACAGACTTACATTAAAGGTGTGTTTTAAAACACCCTTCTAACAAACACAAGACTTAATACTTATTCAAGGTTTTGATTGTACAGAACAGAATGTGAATGGAAGTTATCTGTTATTAAACTGTGAGATAAACAACTCTTATCATAATGATTATTCTGCATTGTTAGCTTAGCATATTGATTTAGAACTAACCAAAATTCACGAGATATTATTGGGTTTACAGTTGAAAATATTGTTAACAAGAAGGATAATCGACTGGTAACAATACATTCTAATCATTATATTTGGAACACTATATTTAATTAGCTTTGCTAGTTCCTTTTTTTCCCCCACATTCTAAACTATGTTTTTTCCTAGACTTTTACCACTTGTTCCCTGCAACACATGGATGTCAACTGAAAAGATGGTCACTGAAGGTCTGATGCAACCAAGGGCAGAAAGGAAGCCTGCTGATCCTCGTGAAGACAAACTCAAGGTAAGTACCAGGATTCAAGTATGCTGAAGTGTTAAAGTCACAGTATAATACTAAATTCAAAGAATAATTCTTCATTAGTCAAAAACTAGAATCCAGTTTTGTTTTGTTGTCTTTGTTATCATCATATTTATTTGAAGTATTAATTTTGAATTAGCTTTCTTTGTGCCTGTTTTTCCAGGAACTTGTGTACTCTTACTCTGTTAGTTCAGTATCAAATTTTTATGAGTATAGGCAATGCTAATTTAGTTCATCAGACCTCAGTGGATAGTATTGTGGTGCTAAAAGTGTGTAATTTATATCCTATAGGGTGACTTGTATGCAAAGCTCGTGGTACTTCGTAATGAGATAGCTAGTGAAGAAGGACTACCACCATATATGGTAGTTAGTAACAAAAACCTGTTGGATGTCACAACTTATCGACCAACAACAACAGATGAACTCTCCAAGCTCGAGGGTATTCCAGAAGCACGAGTTTCAAAGTTTGGTAAAAAAATTGTTGACTTCGTTCAAAACTTTTGTGAGCAGCACAAGTGGAAAAGTGATTTATTACCTGAAAATCAGGTCACTAACAAGGTGAGGTATAATGTACTCTTTCAGTTACACATGTTATTGCTCAGTTAAAATGACATTTCTGTAATTAGATATAAATAAGTTCATAAATATTAAACTTCTGTTGGACATTTTTTGTCATTAAAGAAGATTAGAATTAAGAAATAGCTATCACCTTTACTTTTACAAAACATGACTTGTATGGAGGAAAAATGCATTTCAAAATTACCATCTATAATTATTGTTTTTATTAGTTTGGGCCAAACATTGAACATTTAGTCAGAAACCTAACAGAAACCCAGAAAGCCAGTTACTATTTGTTTGAAAGCATGGGGAAAGACCTGGGGCAGGTTGCATCTGAGAGAGGCTTAAGTGTCAATACTATCATCAACCACCTCTGTGAATCCATTCAGCATGGACTGCCTGTCAGCATAAGTCGTTTGGGCATAACTCCTCATATTGAAGAACTTGTAAATAAAGCAATTCGAGCACCACCAATAAATTCAGGTAATATTTAATAATTCTCTTACACTGATTGCAATTAAAACCCAAAATATGGAGAAGACTGCTAGTGTGTTACAGATAGTACCATAATAGAAATGAAGAAAAAAAAACAAGGCAGGTTATATTCTATAACCATTAAACAAACTTAAGCTTGTCGAAACTAAAATAGCACATAGTACCTATTAATTTATCTTCCTTTTTTTTTAAGTAAATTTTTGAGCAAATAAAAAAAAAAGAAGGTGAAATTGCATTAGTAAATGTTAGAATAAACAACATGAAATCTCTTCCTTTTTCCCTTGAAATTACAATATAGAAACACTTACTAAAACTAACTGGAAATCAAAACAACAAAAGTACCCATGTCATTCACTGAATAACCTAGCTAACGGTTGTCCAACTTTGTGCTAGTGGTAGATCTCAAGGGCAGGACACTAGTTATTGATGAACAAAATTTCTTTATTCTTAAAAGTTATTACTATTAATACAGTAAATAAATAAAAATTAAGCCTCAAAGGCATTAAAATGAGCTTTCTTTTCTGTTCATTTTTACTAGGTGATTGACAAGATGTTGCTCACTGAGCCATCACTTAGTCAATCAGTATCTAGCTAATTATTGATCTTTCTCTACTGAGAAAGTGCCAGCCTATGTTGTATATTTTTATCTTGAGCCTTTCTGTAGACTTCTATTCCACCCAGGAAAGATAAGCAATGCATTTCCATTATTCACCTCTGTCATTGCTGGTCCTCATGTCTTCATATTAAGCTAGATAGGTGTTAAGTGCCTTACGTGCAAATGTAGCAAATCAATCACGAGAATGTTAAAAATTGGAATTTTCTAAATTGAATTAAGAACAAATATAGGAAACAAAAGCAGTGATTTATTGATTCGTCATTTCTTTCTATTACCAAATATTGTATCTCTATATTACTGAATTCTAACTTGGAATTTACTTTACAGGGATGTTGGTGGTTTGGTGTGTACTTCTTATTAAATTAATATCAAGAATATATACCTCAAACTATACAAAATATAGATAACGACTTGTATAATAAATATTTGTGAAAAAAAAAGGTTATTTGGCTAACATTTTGGCAAGAATTGAACAAATATTACCTTTTCTTCACAAATCATGTATGCAAATTTCTCATTGTACTTATCTAAACAGATATCAGTAGGTTAACTCCAATCAAAGACCAGCTGCCTGATATCGTGGAATTTAATCACATAAAAATTGTTATCGCCATACTGAAGTGCAGATTTGGGGTTACTGATGCTATTCTGGATGTACCGCAGACGAAGGTGGATTCAACTCTCACTAAGGTATTGCTGATAATAGGAAGTAAAATACTATAAAGTTTAACGTTAAGTGCAAATGTACACTGAAAACTCGGACTACTTTGTTAATTCAGAGAAATGTAAAACTCATATAAACTGATAACCAAAACATTATATGAGGGTTCTAGCTAAGTAAAATATTTGTACATGAAGTCCCAGGTATAAGCCAATTAAATAAATATTTATGGAATTAGTTATTCTGATATTTTGAATTTAACAACAATAGAAAATTAGGAAAAAATAATAAACTTCAATTAAATGTGTAAATAGTTATTATATGCATAATCATGTATATCTTATATAACTGCTATTGTGATATAAACCCATACAAATGTTTTACTCCTGTTCCATTAGTTTAAAGATGGGGATATTAATTCTATAATTCTTTTTAAGTAGGGTAAAGTTAATATAATCTTAAATGATAAACTTAAAAGGATGTCACTTTTCTCTTTCTCAAGATTCAAAACTTATAAAACATTTCTTTGTTATTCATAAGTTCATTAGTAACAAATAAATGAGGTTATTGTGGAAAATAGCTATACATAATCTGAGATAGAAAGTTTAATATTTATTTGTGAATTTTTGTTTTATACCAAAAAAAAAAAAAAAAAAAAGAAGTTGTCATGGTTGGTTTACAACATTCTAATTTGCTGGTATTTATAAGAATTATGCAGTAATCCCAGAGATTCTTCTCTGGCAAAGAATAATAAATGGTATATATAAAAAGCTAAACCTGTAATTGATGATACATTGTTTCATACGGTAACCTTTTTTATGAAAGAAGGAAATTTAAAGCAAAGTCATTTGTGATTATTAATTTTCATTTTGATTCTTTTAGTTCTCTGAAGCTACAGCAAGTAGTGAGCCTTCTTCAGATTCTCAGTGTGCAAAAAGGAAGCTACCTGGCTGGCTAGGAACTAGCAAGCAACCAAATAAAATTAACAAACGTCTTAAAAACTATTCTCTGTTCTCTCGGTAACAGTAATGTACAAAAAGTTTCTATTCTATCTTAACTGCCAAAAGACAAGATATCTGTAGGTAGAACCTTTTTTTTAATATTTTGATTCAATTTATTTTTGAAACCTTAAAAATTCCTATTACTATACTGATAGTAAACCTTGCTGTTGTAAAAAATCAACATTCCAGATTCTTTTAACATTTTTTATATTTTCAAATAATGTGATTGTCTTTGTATGTAAATATAATGAATGTTTATGAAAATAAATATTTCACTTAATATAAATTTTAATAACATCTACATAAGTTCAAGAATTGTATTGATCCTTTCATTGCAACTAGAACATGAGTGCACTGGGGAATAATATGTCCAAGCTGCAGTGATTGAGTTAAAGGAAACAATACAACTGTAATACTTAGCTATGTGAAAGTACTGAATAAAATAAATCTCTACTATTTTTCAATAATAATTCTTTATGTGCCAGTCTGCATTGTAATAATTTTAATATACCAACTTGGTGCTATTTCCTTTTAGCCTTCTAACTGAATATAGTTGAAGAATAGAAAACATTCCACTATTCTAATGTCAAGTTGCACAACTCCTCATTCACTGATGTTCAGAAGTCTCAGAATCACCTGAACATTGAGAAATATAAACTCACAGAACTTAAAATAGGCTTAGTGAAGATTTTTACAATTAACTCTTTCGACATGGACTCAGTCCCTGGGACCTACCTCATAACCATTTTGTGGTTGTTATAGTTTTCATGGTATAACTTAAATTAGTAAGTTTATGTTAATGAAATTTGGCAGATTATCAGTAAACATTACAATGCTTTCATATGCAAAATATCGAATTTTTTTTATGAAGTCTTAAGGTTTGTTAAGCAATGTTTTTCTCATGCCTTTTCTTCTTTTCACATGTTGCCTATACAAAATACAACGTAATATTCATTTTAAGATTAAAAATACTTTTATGCATCAGAAAATTTTCAAATTTCACATGCAAAATCTTTATAGTGTCCAGATAGTTATCAAACATTTCTTAAGAAAAAACTTTAGATTTTATCTGTTATTTTCAGTAATGAATCACTCTACGGGTCCGGTAGATTTGACCAATCTAGTAACCACCATAAAAGAATTAGGAAATAAATTATGTCTCTTTCATTCTAGAATGA